AGATTACACTGATATCGAAGGAACTAGACTCAGTTCCGAAATATCGCATACACGAACCGACCTGACCGCGTAGCTCAGTTGGCAGAGCATTGGGCTAGTATCCAAAGGTCGTAGGTTCGAATCCCACCGTGGCCAGGCATATTTTTCACTGAAGCCTGCCCGGTGTGGATATACACTCAGAGTAACATCACACAAACATCTTATTCACCTGAGTACATTACACCAACACAGCAGATTTCACGATTATTAGATTACACTGATATCGAAGGAACTAGACTCAGTTCCGAAATATCGCATACTCGAACCGTCCTGACCGCGTAGCTCAGTTGGAAGAGCATTGGGCTAGTATTCCAAAGGTCGTAGGTTCGAATCCCGCCGTGGTCAGGCATATTTTTCAAGCCTGCCCGGTGTGGATATACACTCAGAGTAACATCACAGAAACATCTTATTCACCTGAGTGCATTACACCAACACAGCAGATTTCATAAATATTAGATTACACTGATTTCGAAGGAACTAGACTCAGTTCCGAAATATCGCTTACTCGAACCGTCCTTACCGCGTAGCTCAGTTGGAAGAGCATTGGGCTAGTATTCCAAAGGCCGTAGGTTCGAATCCCGCCGTGGCCAGGCATATTTTTCAAGCCTGCCCGGTGTGGATATACACTCAGAGTAATTAACATCACACAAACATCTTATTCACCTGAGTACATTACACCAACACAGCAGATTTCATAAATATTAGATTACACTGATATCGAAGGAACTAGACTCAGTTCCGAAATATCGCTTACTCGAACCGTCCTGACCGCGTAGCTCAGTTGGAAGAGCATTGGGCTAGTATTCCAAAGGTCATAGGTTCGAATCCCGCCGTGGCCAGGCATATTTTTCAAGCCTGCCCAGTGTGGATATACACTCAGAGTAACATCACACAAACATCTTATTCACCTGAATACATTACACCAACACAGCAGATTTCATAAATATTAGATTACACTGATTTCGAAGGAACTAGACTCAGTTCCGAAATATCGCTTACTCGAACCGTCCTGACCGCGTAGCTCAGTTGGAAGAGCATTGGGCTAGTATTCCAAAGGTCATAGGTTCGAATCCCGCCGTGGCCAGGCATATTTTTCAAGCCTGCCCGGTGTGGATATACACTCAGAGTAACATCACACAAACATCTTATTCACCTCACCTGAGTACATTACACCAACACAGCAGATTTCATAAAGTGTTACTGCAACAAATTTTCTGAACCCTTGTTTATTAGCTTAAATAAATATTCAATCTTTCAGAACTAGCAATTTATCATGCTTTATTGTCATTCTCAGTCTGGCTTTCATATGAACAGCTGTTAAAAACACGCATTGACATGACAACTATCCTTTTCTTAATA